TGACGTTGAAACTAATGGACCAACGAACGCCGACGACAATACAAAGGTGATAGTTATAAGTGACGACGAAGACGAATGTCCGATGAAGCTTGCCAACGAGGGCCCTTGGATAAAATCTGGAAAGAGCCCAGATTTGGTAAAACGCAAATTCGGAATGATATACATTAGTAACAACAAAGATGAATGTTCGGCGAAAATGGCCGAGGTATGCCCTAAAAAAACACCTGAATGGGACCCAGATGAGGCGACGATACAGCTGGTCAATACTGAAAGTATGAGCAAGCTGCCAGAATCTAGAAACAACAGCAAAGCATCTGCCCGAGTGGCTAAAGAGAAAAAAGTCTTCATTGATCAACCTTCTGTGAGAACCAGCCAGCAGAATAGTGAAGAATATGTTGATATCAAAATGGATGAAATCCGAGGAAACGTCCAAATGCAGTTGAAAAGCAAAATCATGATGAGAAACCCAAAAGGACGACTGCTGATCACTCGTTTCGGGATATGCCAGAAGCTGGCGAGATAATGACCGCTCCGAAGCAGATGCACTTCGTATATCCAATGACGTGACAAAATTCATATTGGAGGGAAGTTGTAAAGTTTTGCTGAGGGGATTACTTTCGAGTAATCGAGTAACACCCCGAATGAACACTGCGATTAGAGGGTGGAGAAGTGCAACTAAGCGAAGAGTGCGGCGTTGACTCGTGTAGAGCGATGTGGCAGTGTACAAAGATATTTATTATTGTTAAAAGATTTGTGTCAGCGTATATTTTGTTGTACGAATAACATATCGGGGCATCCGAGTAAAAGTGAAATACGCACCGTATGCCTAAGCTAATTGGAATATTTAGAAAAAGGATTTCTGTCTAAAGCTCAATTTAATAGCCCAAAATACGAACAGGATAATAGAGCAAAATTTTTACAGTCGAAATTGGGTTATTATTATTTTGGCATAGTTGGGAAATATGAACTCCTATTTTGGTAGAGTCATGGAACGAATTTTCTGTGAACAGGAAGTCATTAAATGCTAGCGTGGTCTTGTCCGCGCACTGCATATCAAGAAACTATTCCTATTTTAGCAGTGAGTCTTGAAAACAGGAAATTCTCTGCGAAATGAGGTCACATATGTTGAAAAGTCTATGACTTGTGGTTTTTTAGCAAAACGTCGCATTCGTATATATTGCAAAAAGGTTTTACGTAAATTGGGCACTTATGACTCACAATTAAACCTGGACTGTCGCTTTTGATATTATAAAAAGGGTTTATGTTAATTATTTGTATTATTCACGTAATCTTGATCTCAAAAATTAGAAATGGGATTCTAGTTAAGTTATATTGTAAGAAAATGTTTGTAATTTATTACTATTATTTTAGTTTAGAATTAGTTACAAAGTTGTTAACGTTAAATGTCTTTGAGTTTTGTATTTCAATTTTTTTGCCAATTGTAAAGTTTAAATGTCTTTCATTCTGGAAATTGCAACATGATGTAGTGATTGGGAATATTGTTGATCAAATGTTGAATATTCAAATGTTCTCACAAAAAACACATGTTGTTGACTTGTAATTGAACCGCAAACGATTTCTGAAAATGTTCGACATGAAGTTTATCCCACCTGTCAATCAATTCACCCACGTTATGAAATGTAATTATTGTATGAATAGGTCATGTGGGATCAAGCATGTTATAAGACTTTGGAATTTCTCATTGATTTAAACTTAGCGTGTATGTATGTACTTTCATTTTTGTGCTTATATCTGAATTTTTATTAGGGCTTAAGGAATTAATACTCATATATTTATATCGTGTATGTGTTTGGTTTATGTAGTACTCATTATTAATCTTTTAAGTAATCTTGCTTACTCGTACGACTAAATGACTTGAAACTTTATTTTATTATTATTTTTGAGTTTAATGTTTGAATTATTTTTGATTAAATTGTTCATTATTGATTAATCGGGCGCATCCGAATGGAGAATGTAAGTCGTAATTTCATGTTTTTATTTTGTTGTATTGCATGGTAAAGTTAACCGCATACTGAATGCGAATATTTATTGGGATTGTTCCAACTTGTATCTTAAAACTCATAAAAAAAACTATAAAACGGAACAGTTGAAAACTCTTAATATAACCAATACTTTCACCCACCAGACTTAGGAACAAAATCGGGGCCACCATGCAAAAACTAAATTGCTGATGAGTGTAACATATATTTCGGTTTCAGTGTATTTGAACAATTTCACCTTGGCGGAGTAATTACCTGTAAGTTATATACATACTTTATAAATGAGTAATATGACTGAGCAGAGAAAAACCTCGAAAAATATGGAGGCACCACTGGGATTGATTTGAGGGCAATTGTCACGGCAGATTACATTGTCATGACCAACGCGCCATATTAGGTGTTTCTAATGAAAGATTAACTTCGGTAATTAAGGGTCCTTGACGATCTACGGTCGATTGTGGATGGTTAAACATAGAGCTGATGTGTCTATGGAATTATTCAATGAACAATGTGATTTTGTTACAATATTTCATATCGTATGCAATTATCTTTTGTGTGTGTAATGATATTTTCATGCATATATATCGAATATTTAGCAAAATATTATGTGAAAGTAGTGACGATTATGATCACTGATAAATGTATATTTCAGTGATCCATTGGTGTTTTGAAATTTTGTGTAGACAACGTTTCAATATGTTAAATGTTTATATTAGTTTGGGTATATTATATTTTGTTTGTATTACCGAACTAATATTGAAGTATTTGGTTGTATTAAGGCTTAGGCCATAAAATTAAATAAGATCGGCAGATTCGGGTCGCTCTGAGACTCGAGTTGGTGTGGACGAAGACCTCTGTCGTCGAAACGATAAACAATTTACCGATGAACATCTGAGTGTTGCTGTTGTACGTCTGTAAGATCTGCAAGAGAACCGAACGAGACAGCACCACATCAAGAAAATCGCCGTGGAGAGGCAGCCCTGCGAGAAGACGCAAACTGCAAGTAGCCTTAATCGTTTCCTAATCTAATTGACTAATTTAACCAGCATTAGTTAGGGACAGGACTACTGATCCCCAGCGTCGCCAACAAAACGGCAACACCAGTCCAGAATACCAGCCTTTACGAGAGAAATTTCTAAACAAGAGCTAAGAATTGCATGCTTGCACGTTAATACTTTTCTGAGACATTTATAGGAGATGGTTCTAAATTGGTTCAAGAAGGGGAGGGCGCGCCTTACAAAGGGGGAAGAGAAACTTCGGGAAATAATGAGTCTAATCAAACAGGCCATAGAGAGGCACAAGAATGTTAGCGAGACGGAAAAGACACTCTGCAAAGACTTCATAAGACTTTTTTCCGAAATGCAACGCGAACTATCGAGTGCTAAAAAAAGGAATTGGAACCAGCAAAAAAGGGTCAAGAAAGCCGAAACTAATCTCGCAACTGTAGAAAAGGGGGCAAAAAAGACCAGTACGAAAGTTAATGTAGAATATTTCCAAAAGGTATTAAAGACGAATACCAGGCTGGGAAATTGTACATGGAATCCTTATTGGAGGATTCGGCAAATGCGCAGCCAGCGTACGCAATAGAGCCAACGGCTCCAGTGCCATCGCCGCCCTCTTACAGTGCCACTCCAATCAAGCGATAAATCTCCCTAAATTTGTGGGCAATCCACATCGAGATTCCCGAGGGCCTATCAATGGTCGTGGAGAAGGGATTTGACCACCAACAGGTTAACGTGGTAAGAAATATATTGTCAAATAGTCATTTTCATCAGTCAGTAATTTATTTCTTTACGATACTCAAAAAAAAAGATATATATATATATATATCCGTAAACCATAACTGGTTGCACAAACGACGTTCAGGATGATTTCAATTATTCCGCGAAAGTAGTTCTTACCGTAGTTGAACAATGGCATAGCCATAGATGCTAGTGTTGGCGCAGACGATCACCCTGGAACGTTTTAAGTAACATCCTAAAATGCCTTACACGATAAGTCTCCGAATTACTTACATTTTCCATTCAACGAATTTATTCAAATATGTCATTACCAGATGCGCAATGTAAATTTATATGCGTTTTTAATTGCTGAAACTCATAATTTGTTTGCTAAATTATTACAAAGACTGTCCTAGACCAATCAACTTTATGAATTAATCAAGGTCTACATTCATTGAAAATACCATCTGACTGCAAAACCCGATGGCTGTACATTCAGGCTGTTGTAGATAGAAATAACAATAATCTCTAGCTCTTCGAAACTCTTTTTACTAAATTACTAAATTTTAATTTAGTTTAATTTAATTTTTTATTAATTAATTAATTTAATTTACTAAATTACTAAAAAAACTGATCCACTACTCACTTGTACAATCGAAGATTATATAAATTTCAATTACTCTGCCCCTAGTCCACTTCGATAACTTATGGTACCGAAAAAATTTTTACATCACTTTTCTTTTTGCGCGTAGGATGGGTTTTTAATGAATAAGGTCTATTTAAAATATAGTTCAATTTGTAAGCTCGGAAGTTGAGTTTTCAGAACAGTGTTATCATTACTTATTGATTTTAATCGGTAAGTATGTTGATAGGTATTTGTCTGTCTGTTAGATGCACGCGATATCTCACGAATACGAGATTGAATCTGCTCCAGATTTTGCATGTGCATTCAACATATGTCGGACCAAAAGCATATTGATTTTGGATGAATTATGTCGTATAATTAGCGAGTTATAAATTAATTAGTGATGGGACACAAGGTGTCACTATGGAGTAGAAGCGCTTTTTTGGGAGATCCCCTAACTCGATCGATAAGTCTTCGGTCTCTGACCGATATTCTTGTTTGTGTTATTGCGGCTTTGGCGGCTGAACCATCAAAAGCATCCACTGAACCGTTGATAAATACCAATACAAAGCTTAAGTGGGAACTCGTAGGGTATTCCCCGATTAACCAAGTAAATAAAGATCAGAGATGCACGCGTGATTTGTTCTACATTGTCGGGGTTTTGGCTTGCTTGTGGGAAGTTTTTTTTTTAAATTAGTCAGTTTTCGATGTTGGAATTCGTCAGCACTCTTTATTAACGGCATTGAACATGCTTCAGACTGTCATATATTATTGATTGTGAGCAATCACGATATTCTGAATTTCCTAGCGTTCAAAACCATTGCATGCATGCGTGCACTTTTAGAAAGCGATAGCACGCTTAGACGTTTACTCACCACGGAATACAGACTGGTAATTTCCAAACCATTAGTTGCACGAAGCACATTGCTCTTTTAATGTTACCTAATATAATATAAGACCTCATGAACACCCTGTACTCAGTGTACTGTGACGGTAATTCAGAAATAACTATCCATTTACCGGAAGAAAAAAAGGTTATCGGGCATCGAGATCTTATCAACAAAAAAAGTTAATCGTTTCTGCGGACTACCGTACCGTAACTTCAAAATCATTGTATTATAGTAGTCATTAGTATTATAACAAACTTATTTTTCTGAAAAGAGTCTCATTACATATTTAATTAGTGCAATAATAGATGGGAAAGTGCATTATTTATTTTGTTCTTTATTTGGAGTTACTTTATACCATGTTTCGAGATCAACAAATGTGGAATGTCCTGATCTGACAAATGTAGATTATGCTCAGACTTACCGGTATATCGCTCATTTTGAGAGCTTTAGCAGCCGTGAAGGACTAAAATCTATGGTTATAAACGATGATAACGGCTCTGTTTATCTTGGGGCCTTCAACTCAATACATCACCTTGCAAGAAATTTATCCCATGTAAAGACTTTCTTTTATGACTTCTATGAGGGTGCTGTCGATATTAGGTTCCTGCTCATAGATGATGTTAACAATGTTCTCATTGCTTGTGGGGATATGCACAAGGGATTGTGCTTTCGTCATGCTTTGGACAATAAGGCACAATGTTACCTTATTGAAGGATTCTGGAGAGACAGCTTCGTATATTATGAGCATAAATGGATCGACTGTCGGTCTAGTTTCAAGTTATCAGAATCAAACAAGATTTTACATTGCTCGAACACTCGATGCAGGTTTTGATTATCAATATCAGCAATCAATCTCAACTAAAGTTTGGGATCAAGATCTCACTGGTTTTAAGTTACTTTATAACCAAACTGATGATTCAGAATTCACAACACGATCAGAGTTATCAGTATCTGAAAAGTTTGTAAACACTTATGTTATAGATTATATATATGCTTTTCTCTATGATGGATTTTCATATTTTGTAACCAAACAACCTAGGAAGATTAACTCGAAAACAAACGAAATTCGACTTGTTCGTGTTTGCCAAAATGATATCGGTTACTTCAGCTATATGGAGATAACACTGATTTGCGAATCCGATAGCAGAGAATTCCGCAATCTAATAGATGGTTACTTAGCAAATGTTTCAACTGATTTCATAACTCGAAATAACATGAGCAATTCTGATTCGAACACTGTACTTTTCTTGCTCTGTGGATTGGATGACGACGGAAAATCAAATAAATATGCCGTTTGTAAATATTCCATGAGCGAATTAAATGCAGCATTTGATAAATCTTTTGCTAAATGCAAGTCTGAGCGTGGCAATCGTGGACTGGAATTTTTTTCTAACGGTGAAGAAAATTACTGCGGAATAGGAGGAAGTACTATTGGTGATGTTTGTCCGAAGGTTTTGTCGGGTACTGACCATATCCATTCTCAGGAAAAATTTGTGGGGAAAGATATTTTATTAAATAGTAAAGGCGAAGATCTGTCAACTCTTGTATCGGCACCTTCTTCTTTAGCTGTACTGGTCTATGGCAGCAGTACAATATTAGCAATGAGCTTTATATCTGGTGATATTGGTGTTTACCATATTGGTGCCTACTACAAACTAGGTGTCCCAAACATCGTTGTTAAAATTGCCGATAAACCTTTCACCAAGAATATGGAAGTACAAAAATCTGAAATATATGCAATGACATTTGCTTCTGTTTATAAAATATCGTTAAAAGATTTTTGTACTGTCATACCTACATGTAGACAGTGCGTTATGACAGATTTCTTAGGTTGTGGATATTGCAATGGTCACAATTGCACAACAAAAGATGCATGTAGCAAATTGAAAGGCAATTGGAGCAACAAATTATGTCCCCCTATTGTCACCTCTTTTAAACCACATTCAGGACCTGTGGAGGGAGGAACAGATATTACCATATGTGGACAGGCATTAGGGCATACTACCTGGCATCCGGATATTGTATCAATACGCAGCGTCTCTATGGGTAGTTTGGCAAGTTGCTTGACAACGAACAAGGAAAATTATAATAAATTAGTATGCAATACTAAAACAAGGTTTAATTCTACTGAAGATATAGAGAATATCACCACACCTATTTCAATGCATATTTTTGCTGCACTTCCATCAGCTGAATCTGATTTTGAAATAAATGAAACACTACCGCTTGGAACATTTACTTTCATGATGGTTGATGTTTTTGGATTTTATCCCCCCAAAGGTCCTGAGAGAGGAGGTACAAAAGTTATTATTTTTGGTAAAAATCTCGGCATTGGTAGCAATGTCAAAATCTTGATTGGAAGTTCATTGTGTGCTGTCATGTCTCGTAATTCATCTCAAATTCAATGCAAGACATCTCCTCATCAAGGCAATATCACAGAATCAATTGTTGGTGCACCGGCAATAAAAAGCGAAAACAAGGTGAAAGTTGTAATAGATAATGCAGTTAGAGCTGTGGATGATCAATTTTCATATATGCCGAATCCAAATTTATCTGTTCCTAAAGTCCCATTTAGAAGCATAGCCAGGTATGATTATCTTCTTTTATTCATAGATTAAAAGCATTCCTCATGAGATGCTACCATGAATGGAACTTATGCAAGCAGTGACATAAAAAAGTTAATGAAATATTTTTGATTTGGTATCACATACTTTAATAACAATGTTATTATTGACTAGTTTAATAATGTCATAGGTGCCAATTTGTATAATTTAGTAATTATAAATATAATCTTTTCAGTGGAGGAATTCAGATCCGTATACCTGGTTCTAATCTGAATTCAGTTGCAAGTCCTTATGTCACAATAACAATGAAAATATTGTCTAAAAATGTTGACTGTAGCGTGGTGAAGATCCTAATAATGAGGTGGAATATTTGGAATTTTTCACACCACCATTTTCTGTAGTGACGGAGAATTATAGGGAAGGTATGCAAGATATATGTCAAGCTTATTTCCACAATTTATTTTATTTTTGATATTAAATTTTACAATATTTCACTTGTCTAGTGTTATTAGAAAATGGGATATCGTTTATGGAGGCAGGTAGTATGTGAATGTTTCCACTCCATAGAATTCTAAGTTTAACTGAAAACCACTAACTATACCTGTAGTATCGAAGAACTTTGCATAGTTTTTGTGAACCAAATTATTAATTTAAAGTTTACAATAACTATACACTTGCACTAGAGATGATTAAAGTGAATAATCCTTTCCATTTCATCAGGGATTTTAACAATCACGCTCGATGGGCAAGTTCTTGAAACACCAGGTATTCATGTATATCCTGATCCAGTTTTTGAAGAATTTGTATATGCAGAAACGAAGGAAGTGTTTACCATAGACATCAGAGGTTAGCTTAAACATAACTTTATCACACATTTCTTCAACCACCTAATAATATTTTAGTATTCCATCGTAGTAATATTTTATATTTCATCAATGAATAAGAAAATGCTACTAATATAGTATATCAAAAAATTACTGTAGTTGGGTGAAAAGAGTGTTGTATTGTCTATAATATAGAATTTGATTTTGTATGCCATGAGCATGTTTATGGTCGGGCTAGTCATATTTATTAGGCTCTTCAAACGTTTGGTCAAAGTATTTTAATAACTTTGATATAAAAGAACCACACCTTGTGTTGCCAGACGAAAAAAGTTATGTGCAATATTGACATTATCAAGCATTATGAACATTGCAAAAATGAGTGATACAATCCTGACAGAATCGTTCTACATTTATCTTTGATCGTTATTCATGAATTTCCAAGTCAAACAGAGTTTTGCTACATCAGAGTGGTTCACTTACTGACTTATAGAATGGTCACGAGTCACGACTATGCATTAGTTATTGGTTAACATTACCTAGTTAGCAACCCGCACCCAACTGATATCTGATCGAGAATCTATAGTTCTTTATAGGATTATGCCATCTTATAAGCTTCCTCTAAAAATGAATATGGAAAATCATATCCCGAAAACTCAATATATCAGCGTTGTGTACTGGACTACGTACTATATCCTGGATACTAAATATTGTTCTTTCTCAGAACTCGAAATATATTTATTATATTGTTTTCTAGGGAAAGGTCTTGACTATGGATGTGAAACTACTGTTGAAGATTCTAATTTGAAGTGCGATTATCGGATATATATCGGTGATTTAATCTGCCCAATGTATCGTTCACTGATCAAGCACTGATTTGTAAAGGTTCGATAACTCATAGACAAAACAAATATTTATAGTCGATCACGAAAATAAGTTACCTTTAATAATGGTTAACATTGAATACTATCCATTATCCAGTCTTGATTATTTTGCTATTCGATTCGCCATTGGATATTCGAATATATATCCTCACCCTAACCCTCGGTATGAAACAATGCAAGACTCATGCTTCATTATTCATGTATGGACTCTACGCAATATGCTCACCAGACCAAAGCTGTGACCGAAATAATGAGTAGGTTCGATATGAGTGCATCCACTTGTGAATATAAATACAATTGAGTAAGAGCACAAATTCATGTTTTGGAAGATGCAAAGGTTAAGTAGATAGCTTTATTAATAACAATATTCAACATGTAAAATTTAATTTTTTTTTTCATGCAGCTAAACGATCATACATTGCGAATAACACAGACAATACAGATTTTTCTGTCACTGTCCATATGGAAAATATAATCAAACAGGTTGGAATAATTGATTTATCTTATTCGAAGACAGGAATAATTGTTGGAGTCGTCTGTGTAGTAAGTACTGCCATATACAGCTCTATATTTTGAACTAAACAATTGGTATTTTTGGGTGGGTGGGTTGAGATGGTGGTTTTAACCATTTTGGTTTGAATTTTCTTTAATATTCACAAACCTTTGATGCAACTAAATTCAGCTTTTTAGACTTTTACTGTACAAAAGCTGAACCAAAGAAGTCTTAAATATTTGTTGAATGTTTTTGTAATCAATTACGTAGTTTCTTAATTGTTTCTGGAGACAAATAAGTTTTCTCTTCACCTACGTAGCTTATTGAAGCTAAGAGGTTTTTTCAAATCAGATTGTGAAATTTGGAAACAAAAATGTGATTTAAAAGTTCTTCTATTTTAAGAGGCATTATTCATAATAGTTTCATTGTTTTCTAATTAACACAATCACATAGCTTAGTTTCTTCATTCCTATTAAAATTTAAACTTTCTCTTAAAATTGCAAACCGCTAAAACATGTTTTAGCTCCAGGTCATATCACCATGACTAGTCAGTTTCAATATAATTTATCCCCGTTTCTCATTTGATTGCAACATAATCATGCTCATTTACAGATAATTCATACAACAAACAAGTTGAAATACTTTTTAAGGATTATTGACATCATACCTTATTTTTGTCCAATACTTTGCACGTATAGCAGCAGCATAGCGATTTCAGTCGAATCATGATTACTTATATGGGCATTTTTATACCTACTACATTGATGACTCTAATAATCATTTGGCTTCCAGAATTTTTTACATATATATTCACACATCCTACATAGATGAGATGAGAAAATGTTATGAAGAAATCAGAAAAATAATATTTTCGTCTACATTTCTGAATCCACTTTTCCTTTTCAGCTTGCACCCTCACCAAGGATAACTGACCAAACTTCTTTATAAATTTCACAATCTGATTTGAAAAAACATCTTAACTTCAATAATATCATCAGATTTGTGTTGTCATGTGTTGTTGTTATGTTGTATTGTCAAATATTTAAAACAGGCCCTTTGCTTTAAAAGTACTAAATTCATATTCATCTCCTCATACCTTAGTTTAAATGAAGGCTGAAGCCTCCCGTTGAGTCAACGAATTTCAATTAATAGTATCAATTTAATACCAGTTGAAAGTTGGGTGGGGCTAATAGATCACTAGATCAAAAACAGGCTGACTTCTAAGTTCTAACCGGTTCTTTCTTTAGTTTAGGTACAATGCTAATTGAACTGTATTTCAAAAGGGGGCAAAAATATTACTTGTTATTAAAATAACTTTATATATAAATATCAAAATGTGTGTGTGGCTGTTGTTTTGTTGATTGATTGAGTGTCCAACTGAATAAAAGGGTAAAAAAATTAAAATGTACATCCTAAGAGAAAAAGTAACAACTGAAGATATTTTGAAGTTTTCAGCCCGTGTTTTGACACTGAAACTATGCTTTAGGTGCTGCTGACACTGCTGATTATTGGATGTGTTATACTCATCAAGAGGTGTTGTATGAAGAGAAAACTTGGCAATAATCAGAATGGTCCTGGAGTGCATTTCAGATCATAACAAGTATAGTTTACTTTTAATTTACCTGTTTTTTTTTATTCATAATATTAACCAATTTATATCATGTTGTGGACTGCCTATCAAGCAACATGATATCAGCCTATCATATATTGCACATGCTAGCTCCTTTATGAAAAAAAAAAATCATGTTATTATGTTGTTGCTTGTATCTTCCCATATGAATAATGCTTAATCCGTGGACACATGCTATTATCCTCATATCTACATTAAAACTTTTTTGGGCTGTGAACCATATTTAAGGTTTTGTTTTGTCAGTCTTATGTCATGTTTTTATCACCCTTTTTGTTGACAGATGATCAAAGTACCAACGCTGAGTGAGATATCAGAAAAGATCACCCAACCAAGTGTGCTTCAGACGTCCTCCCAGAAGGGTTTAGTTATTTGATAAGCATGCAAACTTTTTTTGTTTTGCTCTTTTGCTATTCTCAACACACATTTGCAGGGATCTCAGTTCTCTGTGTCACATTCAGCATGAGAATCTCTATACCTCCTTCCACAAAACTCACCTCTCACGTCTCGCTTTGCTCCCGTTTACCTTCTAATCGTGTTATTTTTTCTAATTCTGATTCGTTTGCTCTTAACAGTATTACTGCCATACCAAGCTATTACACACAAGGTACTTTTTTTTATCAAGTAGGCCTCAACCCACCGGTACTTACATTTTTTCTTGCATGTTTGTAGGGAGGGGCTGGTGAATAGTACTATCTTTTTGTAAGTGAAAAAAAAACACCAACCACAAAAAGCCGTTTGAGATTAACGAACGATAAACTTAAGTTTTCCCACGACGGAAGGTATTGGTAATCTTTTTGTAAGTGAAAAAAAAACACCAACCACAAAAAGCCGTTTGAGATTAACGAACGATAAACTCAAGTATTTCCCACGACGGAAGGTATTGGTAACGTATGAGAAATCAATATTAATTGATATTTAAAAAAAAAATAAATATTCTTATTCAGGTCGTGAAAGGACAATCGATTTTATTTGACATGATTGTCCAACATTTTTAAATACCCGGGCACTACAATTCGTAACCTAAATTGCCGTGCATAATAATTTCATTTTTTAGGCAAACTTAGCTGAATAGTGAAGATGTCAAAAAAAAGTCTTTCATTTCGTGAATTTTTCTAAATTTATTTGTAAACCTCGCACGGCTCAACTTATTTTGCAATAGTTTTAACTGTGATCCGCTCATACTTTTTGTGCACTCGTTACCTCTCCTCAAATTTTTTTTCAAAACTTGTTCTACATGCTTTTGACACAACGATCCTATCGAACTTTTAAATGATGCGAGTATTAAAACGGCGGCAGCACATTTGAATAGTGGGAGCATTAATTTGGTTGAAATAAAACGCAGTATATGGTTTCAAATATATTGTAAACGTCGTGAAAACAATCGTGATTAACATTCAAAAAAAGACGGCAATTTTCAAACATTCTAACCCTCTAGTTTTTATATATCTTTAAACCTCCCTTCACACAACTCGTCTATCTTTCCATGACTTTTTTCGCAATGCGCTTCGTACTATGGTGTTATTTTCCAATTTTAATTCTCTGCTTTTAACACTATTACCGCAATAACATTGAGATACTTTATACTATTAAATAGGCCTCGCTCCACCGATGCCAATTTTTCATACTTGCGAGGGAGGCAGGTAGATAGGAGGTTGTTGCGGCTGACTGGGTCTCGTGATCGATAGACTTACTTCGAGTTAGTTTGATTTATACACTGGCAAAGTATGTCAACGAGGTTAAAAGGGGCTTAACGTCGTACAAACATTCAGTTTTGCTTAAAAAAATGAGGCTTTAATTTGGTTGGAATAAAACGTGATATGTCGTTTCGAATGTTTTTTTCTTAATTAACTTCGATTCTAGTAATTGTGGTGTAGAAGTCTGCGTCATCGAAGATGAAGCATGCATCGTTGTCCAATGGACCTTTCCCCGACATCGAAACATCCGTATTTTCAACCAATCACAAGCGAGCAGATGTAAACAAACATTCTCCGCTGAAAAGTCGCTCAGACAACTTTGGACGCGTTCCGCACATGTTGCTGACGGTTTAGGGATATCTTTGTCCTTTTTTTCGCTTTTTGTTTTCTTCACAGGGCTGCGAGAATTAGAAAGCGGTAATACTGTATGTTACTTGTTGCAATCACGTTCACGAAATCTATATATCGATACTAAAAGGATGTACCCGTTGCAGGCACCTTACAGGTACGGTACCGTACAGGTCGACCAACTGCTATTTCGAACCAAAAAATAGTAGACAATTATGCTGATGCAATCAAGGGTACCGGTAGCCTACCGTATGTCCATTCGAAAGAATTCACCTTCGATACGATGTTGCATTTTTATTAAACAGAATCTACTAGTGAATTATTTTGGTAGACTAACTCTTTGCATATGGTATTTGCCGGTCTGACAACCGGTACCGGTACGGTACCCCTTCCGTTCAAATGGAGTAAGATTTGTGCTATTTCCGAAGCTACATATTGACCGCTTAAAGCAATGAGGTGGATGAAGAGATGCAACAGGCCTCACAGTCCATTCAATCTAGGAAAAATCACCAGAAATGCATACGTGTGTACCAAGGTAGGCCAACATTAATGTTGTTTTCGATACCTATGATATATTCAATATGTTAATTCTTATATGAAATAAATTTTCATACAAGCAATGCGTTCCATCATGCATTTTCATGGAGGCGATGGACCAACTGATGAATACCCTGACCCTATATCAGATTCTTATTGCCCAACAAAAAGCACCATCAAATTGTGAGGTAAGGATTACTTATACCATAATTAACTTTGATCATAATTTAACAGGATCTGTCACCAGATACTTCATTTGATACAGAGATGCGAATCTGACGAAAGTGAGAAAGGATTGTCAGGGATCCAACCAGATCTGCCCCCAGACTCTTTAGTTGAAACTACCTCAAGTGCCACTGAGAAAATGACAGCGCTTTGTCAGACAGCAAAAATGTAAGCAAGCATCATCATCATCATTTATTTGGTTCTCTGGCATAAAACAACACAAAAAGTCAACCTGCAAACAAAATGCAGAGAAAACTGGAAGTCGAGCATAACTTAAATAGATTTCAAAAAGTACGCGGCTACCTACTAGAAAAGAAATAATATTAAAAAAAGGGCACTGAAGAATTAACAAGATTCAGAATCGGGCAACACTTTTAACATAATTCAAAATGAGAAAACACATACTTCTTCCAGCATTGGTGTCATATTTGCTAACTGTAAAAATGATGAATAAAGAAGGAAAATTAATATTAAGACTTTATGACTTCATGCAGAATCTTTTACAATCCATTGGAATTAAAATGATGTTACTTTATGGAGGATGCTTCGCATGTATGCCATGTCCGGTGTGACCCTGGTGATCGCAATATAATTTTTTGTGCGCACTGCAAAGTCACACCAAGTTGCTCCTGATACCAGAAGTTGGCCCTGCACTTGGTAGTAACTGTGGTGTGTGATAAATATTATTTTGTTAGGTTGTTTTGCATTCATCACTGTCATATAAATTACAACTTGTTCATAATCACCTGATAACTTTAGAACCGAACCAAGTGGTGGGTATTTGCCCATCTGTCTATATAACAATGAGGTAGCGCTCAGTGAGCGCAATTCTTCCATATTATCAGGACATGAAACCAGGCAGCTTAATAAAATAACTCAGAAGTAAAATCATTGTGATACATTATGTCAGTGAATGGAATTCTGAAATGAATTTAATTCTAATATTTTGACGTTTCATTGCTTTCATGGTTTTTGTTTGTTGTGCCTAAAATCATATATCTGGTGTGTATTTTTATCCTATACAACACAATATCTAGAAAACTGTATAATTTGTAGTCATTTGCTTGGATTTACCTGCTTGTTCCTTCATCATATATTTTTTATAATCTAATCTGTTATATTCTATTTCTACACTGAATGAATAAACTATATTGTAAAAACCTATCAGATACCACACTGTTTTTGGTTAAAACTGTATGATTGGAACTCTGGCTCGATCTAACTTTGTGGGCTTAGCACCAACTACAGACGACAAAACTGTTGGATGTTTTATATTGTTCCCTCTATATAGGTTGTTACCAATGCTGGGGAAGGCCTGTACACGCTTGGCTCAGCAGAAAATCTTTTATTCCCATCAATTTGATCTGTTGGATAGTCTTGGTTAGTCCAACGATATGGCAACAAGCACCAGTAGTTCTGATGAATATGTAACAATTTTTAAACCATGTTTTTCACTATAACATTGGTCCTGTAATTTTATGTAGTATGTAATCAATTATAATACCTCAATAAACCTGTTGAATCTAATCTTTCAATAGTATATTTGCACCCATCTTACTGAGCTAGTAAATCTGTGTTTCTATGATACGACATAAACTTAAGTTCCTAGCATGTATTAATTGCATCAGAGACTTTGTGACTATCCAGCGACACCACTATTTGAAGATGATGTGGTGGCAGAGACTCCTGAACACTTATCTATAGCACTTGGCTTTGAAATCTAGCGTTGAACCAAGATTGACGACTGAACCATCATGAATGTATCTGAAAAAAATATTCATCTGTTCATAATTACAGATTGCTGTAGTTTGTGCAATGTTTTCAAGAATTTATTCAAATGACTTTTTAAACTGCCCCTGCATTTCATTTATAGAATCAAATGAAACGCAGGGGCAGTTTAAAAAGTCTTTTGAATACTACTTACTAAACCCACCAATTCAGTCCTAACTTGGACGGTACCGGTACCTATTAGTCTATGAACCATGGGATGTGGTACCGGTAGTCACGCAGGTCTCCAAGTCATCTGACATTCTTCAACCATATACGTTTAAATATCATCTTTCAATGAAAAGTTTTGTATCCCTCTCCAGCTGGGGCAAAGAAAAGGAGAACCAAGTCATAGAAAAGCCATCTCTGAGTGATACCATTTTTGTATGTTAAATACGCTTTTGGAACTAAGTTAGGTACGATAACGGCAATGTGAAGGCGGAATAACGTTAATAATAGATCACTTGACAATATGTTATAACTTTAGGAGCACGAAAATACCGCCGTCACCAGTGAAATGCCATTCGAAGGCCCTTTGAAACGAGCAACGCACCACTGTATCGCCCTACACAAGCCTGAATATTTGCAATGTTTGTCTGAGCAATGACATTAATTGGTCATTAATCATTGGTCTGAGCGACCAAAATCAAAACAATAAAGGTCGGGGAAAGGTCCATACCATTGATTCGCATTTTCAAAAATAGATCCCAATATCCGGTCTATCATATCGAAAAAACAAGAGAGCTATGCTCAAATATATGGACACGTAGAGTCACATAATTTCGATGACGTCATAGCGAAAAAAGAAGTAATAGCCTTCTGGAGAAAATTTTTATCTTTAACCACTAAAAATTTCAAAGCAATTGGTCCAGTATTCGAAGAGAAAAGCGACTTTTTAAAAACGTGTCAAGCGGTACTGAGTTAGCAGTCAGGCAGCATCTTACCTGTACACTGAAGGCCATATACGGTAATTGATCACAGAACAGTTGTTCCTTGCAAATTTTATGTTGTTTTACACTTTAGGAACAGATAATTGATCACAGAACAATTCTTCCCTTTCAAATTTTATGGTTGTTTCCAGTAGACTCTCATCAAAATAAACAAATATAGTAGGCTACAAGTGCTACAACGCTTGCATTACTGCACTGGTAGGACCGTGAAAGAATAAGTTACTGGTAATTTCATTGTGGTAAGACACCGGTACCGGCACCAAGTACCAGTATCGTACTTACGTACTGAGCTACCAGTACCGGTTAGCAGTCAGCCAGCATCTTACCTGTACACTGTAGGCCATATACGGTACAGGTAATTGATCACAGAACAGTTGTTCCCTTTCAAATTTTATGTTGTTTCCAGTAGACTCTCATTAAAATAAACAAATATAGTAGGCTTACAAGTGGCTACAACGCTTGCATTACTGCACTGGTAGGACCGTGAAAGAATAAGTTACGGTAATTTCATTGTGGTAAGACACCCGGTACCGGCACCAGTATCCGTACTTACGTACTGAGGCTACCAGTACCGGTACCGGAACCTGTAGGTCTGATATTCCGTTCCGCATACGATAGGCTATAAAACTTGCATTGCAGCATTAGTAATACCACGGAAGGAATAAGTCAATTTCACTGCGTTACGGCACCGGTATGGCAACTTACCAGTAACCGACCTACAGTAGCTGGTAGTACTGAGCAAGACAATCGATCGCGAAACCGCTTGAAATAAGTGTTAAAACAGTGTTCCCATGAGTAAAAATAAATACCCGCGAAATTTTGTATGAAATATCATATCTCATAGGATTCATATGAAATTTAAGAATAAACAAAAGTAATAGCCTTCTAGCGAAAAATTAATCTTCAACCACTGAAAATTTCAAAGCAATTGGTCCCAGTATTCGAAGAGAAAAAGCGACTTTTTAAAAAACGTGTCAAAGAACAAGAACAACAACAACATAATATTGAAACGATCGTTATGTCCACTACGTGTCCAACAACAGCAAAATTGAAATTGACGGTGTAATGTAATATGCAAACTCTGATTT